GCTGTTCTTCCATAAGAATGGTTTTCCTTATTCCTTTCCTTATTTCTCGTTTTTTCACAAGATTTTTATATTAAGTCGAAAGAGGGGATAAATTATTTACACATTATTTACTATAATTATTTATTAATAAAAATTTGCTGTTAATCGTTTATAACAATTGATCTTATGAATTTTTATTATTTATAATTTATAATAATATACTTTGTTGGTTGACCACTTTTTGCAATAAATAATTGTGAATATCTCGAGAACGGAGTGTCAGATCGATATCGGACCTTTACTAGTACACTCGGAGGATAAGGGGAGTTTTTGAGAAAAAATTGCAAAATTATAAACAAATGGAATTATTTTGGAAACTATTGGTCGTATCAAGAAAATTTAAACGTGGTATTTTACAATTAACATAGGACTAATGACGTTATCATTTTTTATCATCGGTTATCAGGGGATCGCCATCTTGAAAATTTGCCATTTTGAATTTTCGAACAATCTCTTTTATGCCCTTGTTATCGTTACTAAACTGATCATTTTGCAATTTTAAATTTATCTTGTTATTTCACAAGATTTAGAGTGACGTCATCATAATCTTATTTCTTTGTATCTTCAAAAATTTTATTGTTATCCTTATTCCCTATATGAAACATAATAATTTTGTTAACAATATTTTTTTTTATTTTGTTTTATTAATGTATAAAAGTTAAATTTAAGGTAAAATCAAATTTGATTCAGGCCATCTGTTGAATTCGCAAGGAATTATCTATCGGTAATAATAGGAAACTTTGTTCGTGTGATATCTATAGGCCATATGATAATTAACTTCTTAAGACATTTATCGATAATAAGATGAACTACTTCTGAACTTTTAATGGTAAGAGCTTTAGTATTGTCCAAAATCAAGTTATTATATTATCTTTTATTGTTATTATTATTGATTGCGGCCCTCAATAGGCTGTGTATAAACAAAATAAAAGTTAAGATGAACAAAAATAGTTTTACTTGTTATGACGATTATTTCATCAGTAGGAAAAGATGTGAACTCTTTTAATAATCAAAAATAAATATTTGTCAAGTTGGCAATATAATAGAATGAAAAAACGACGAGACATCACAATACCCTAACGGAACATGATACGGAATATCATATGGATATTCTGTACTCATACGAAATGTACGATGATCGATAATATAGAGAAAATTCATATAATATCTCTACATAATATCATTTCTCATATATTTTCAGGATATACTCAGGAAATAACAAATAAAATTTACTACTTATACTGTATGTATTCTGATTATATGTAATATACTCAGAATATTTGTGTAATGTTTTGGATAGTATCGTGAAACTGTTAACTTGTATCATCAGAACATACTTCGAATATAAAAATTGAATCATAGGTGTAGGGATTTGCTGTTGATTAGGAGGATAAATGATTCCGATGAGTTAACAACGACTGAACAACGAACTTTATTGTATAAAAGCTTTTACATGACTCTCTCTTTAGGATATCGTTATATAATTGAATATTGTAGGTGCGTATTCCTAAAATGATATCGTTTTGTGTAATTAGATTAAGAGGGCAGAAAAAATGTGAAAAGTGTAATTGCATGACACTTAAATCCCTACAATATTCCTCCCTGGGAAAAGAAAAAAAATGTGTGTATTATGTGTTTCTTTGATTTGCGTTTGTATTAAATTGTAAATACTTTCTTCTTTGGTTCGGAGTACTGCCAGATTTTCTTAGAGACCGATCCATTCTCCTTGTCTAAATGTATGTTGAAAGATGTTTGCCTTCGTTGAATCTCTGTCCGATCCACTGGCCGATTCGAAGTTCTGCTTAGTTGCGTTGTGATCTCCAGCTTCACTAGAGTGGTTGATATATTCGACTGTAGAGTTTTCTTCTGCTGACTGATAAGCGGGCTTAAGGCCTTCAATCGATATGTTGGTAGGCAGGCCGTTTACATCGATAGTGAAAACTCTATCATTAATTCTTTCGATGATGCGATGAGGGCCTGAATAAGGATTGTCGAGCGTATTCTTGCGTGTGTTTTCTTGCCTGATAAATACATGCGTGCAAGTATGTAGATCTTTGAAGCAGAAGATTTTCTTGCGACCATGATATGCTGTTGGTCTAGATTTGAAAGCTCGCATATGAACATGAAAATCTTCCAGAAAGAAATTTGGATTGTTTTGCAGATCTTCATGTGTGAAAAACTCTTCTGGTATTCTAAATGTACCGTATAGGTATTCTGCTGGTGAAGCCTTGAGCTCTTCCTTATAACATGTCCTGAGACCGAGGAATACAACTGGAAGTACATCAGTCCATTTCTGGTTTTCATGGCATTTGATTGCCGTTTTTAAAATGCGGTGTCAGCGCTCAATTAATCCGTTCGAAGCCGGATGGTATGCAGTAGTGCGAATTCTCTTGCCTCTGACCAATTGAGTTAAGGCCATGAACAGTCTGCTTTCAAATTCGGATTCTTGATCTGTAGTGATTAGCTTGAGTGAGCTGAATCGAGAAATCCAGTGCGTGAAAAATGCTTTTGCCACTGTTTTGGCTTGATGATTCTTAATGGATATTGCCTGTGGCCACTTAGAAAATCTATCTATCATGATGAGGCAATATGTATATCCGTCGCTGGAGTTCATGAGGCCGATAATATCGATATGCACATGGTCAAAATGCGAATCTGTGTGTGGAAAGATTTCCGGTCATAAATGGATGTGTCGTCCTACTTTGGCACGTTGGTATTATATGCAGGTTTTGGCCATTTCTTTGATGTCTCTTCTCATGGGTGGCCACACGTTGCCGATTATCAAGCAATCTACTGTGACAAGGGCAAACTAGCTCTAACCGAAATCTTAAACGACATCGCGGCATCGGAATGCGTCAATAAAGGGTCTATAAAAGGTAGTTATTAAGGGCTTAATTAATCCTAATATTTTTAAGCGCCCACCATTTACGGTGGGCCAATTTCAGGTAAAAAATTAATTTATTATTTTTACTACGACTGAACAAATCGCTTTTCTGCAAAATCGCATCCCCGCGACTACAAAGTCACATTTCGGCTGCGTAGGCTGACGATTGCAGAATTGCATCCCCGCGACTGCAAAGTCACGTTTCATCTGTAAAGCCGACGGTTAAAAAATCGCATCTCCGCGATTGCAAAGTCGCAAACTCGCATCTTCACGTTAGCTTAAGAAATCGCGGAATCAATATTACACTTTTGATCGGTCCTTACTTACTTTTACTAAATTAATACTTATTTTCTTATTAAACATCGCGATATCACGCCTCGATTTATTATACAATCGATCAGCTAATAACATTCATTACGATTTGTATCTAATTAATATTACACACGATAATCTGTATCTTCCATATTGAACAAATTACATTACGCGACACATTATCTTAATTATTTAGTTATTCTTTAGTTTGTTAATAAAACTTGTAGAAAACGAGTTAAATCGTCGAATTGCAACTTTCCCAGATTCCTTTCTTTTCCTTAAATAATCGAAATATAAATTCATTTTTATCACACTTAGGATGACCTAATATGAGGTCAAAACGACATTTGTTTATTATATTCATTTATTAATTTTGTTTATTAGATTCTTTTATTAATTTATGTATTTATTTTCATTAATTATATACGAATGTTTTCACACATACTGTTTTTCGCTTTTATGTTTCTGATCTTTTATTTATGAATTTAATAAGTGCCTTCTATGTCTAATTTGATACACGCGAGCATTGACATGCGTTTCACAGGCTTTTTTGAACATATTAGGTCTCAATTTGGTTTTAAAGTTTGTAATTCGCTCAAGACTTGGATCAATCTTATGAAATTAAATATTAGATTACACATTAGGATACGGTTTCTCAAAGTTTGCATCAATTTAAGGTTGATTCCTCAGCATTTACGCCACATTGTGAAATATAATAATATCAGTTTATTTCAAAGATTTTTTTTATGATAAGTTAAAACGGACTTTTAACAACTTTGCAACAACTTAGAATACTAAAAATCGAATTACGTGATATTTATAAGCATCTACATTTCGCGAGACAAAAGACTTTCAATGTGTACAAATCAATATGCAATAATTTGCCATTCTCGGTATGGGCTGCGTGTTTTAGTTGTCAAGAAAAAATCACATTTAAATACTGAAACGACGAAAGAAATAGAATTGACAAGAAGGTTTCATGGTTAGCCTCTAGCACTTGTGTAGTCAAAAATGAGAACATTGTACCTAACTGTCATTTTATTAAAACTTCTGAGCCTTGTCCTGAGAGTTACCCTCCATCATCTCCTTTGATTGAACGGGTGATGATCCCTCTCTCCGAACTGAAAGATTCACCCTCTACTAGTGAAGTCTACAGTATTCACATTTCCCCAGATATGTTCGCTTCTACATCTTCCTTCAATTCGGTTCGTAATGAAATGGTTTATGAATCTCAGCAATTTTCAAATCCCGAAAGAGGTTACATTTCTCTTACAATTAGGGCACAGATTCAATTTCCCCATTTTTAATAACAAAGATAAAATGGCTATCGAATTTATCAAAAACATTGAAAAAAACATTTTCAAATTCCACGATGATTTATGTAACCGAATAAGAAATGATTCCATTCCTATCCTACACAAGTTACATCATTACAAACAGCCATTAGATCTGAATGTTGCTTCACTTAGGAGTTGGTTGCTGGCCACAAAACAATTCATAAAAAACACCTGAACGCGCTTTTCACTAGAGCAGACAAGAATAACGTCACAATGTTGATGGATAAAATTGAGCACACCAACTTGTAACTTTGTTGTCTGATAACAACACGTACACGAAGATCACTTTTGATCCCATTAAAAGATTGACAGCTGGAACATGTTCCCTTCTATTAAGTTGGAAAAGCAACAATTTCATAGACAATGATTTATATAAAAGACTGATGATTGACTGACCATTTCTGATGGTGTTCTGCCGCGAGCTTACGGACTATCAAAGATCCACAAACCAGGTTTTCCTTTACGTATAATTATCTCTTCTATAAATAGTCCTTTACATACTTTGGTCTTCTTTTTACATCCATTCTTTTACATTCCATCATCTTCAAAAGTATTCCTAAATCGCCCAATTATATCAGTAACAGTCACCATTTGGTAGATAAACTAAATGGGATATCATTTTATCCTAACTATACGCTAGTGTTACTGGATGTGATTTCACTTTTTATCAACGTCCCAACAGACCTTGCGTTACAAAGCATTAAGAAGAGATGGAACTACATATCCAATCAATATCCCGCAAAATAAATTTCTTCGTGCTGTCTCTCTTATTTTAGATTCAATTTTCTTTATTAGGTGTATAAAAAAGTTCTGAGCTTTTTTTTGCAAAATTCAATCTTTATTCAAAAACAAACAAAAAATATTAATCAGCGAATTATTCCCCGTTTGCATCAACGACCTTTTGCCATCTTTCGGATAGCTTGCGAATTCCTTGACGATAGAAGCTCATCGGCTTCGAAGCGATAAAGTCATCAATGCATTTTCGTATCTCTTCAAATCTCACGAAATGTGTATCAGCCAAATGATGCTGCAGCGACCGGAATAGGTAGTAATCGGAAGGCGCCATGTCTGGGCTTATACGTGTGGGAGAAGTTCCCAGCCTAACGCAAAGATATGGTCCTAAGTCGCTTTCGCAACATGCGTCAAGCATTGTCATGAAGCAAGATCACTTTACGACGTCCTTGGCCAGTAAATGGCCTCTTTTTTTCTAATGCATCGCTCAAATTGGTCAATTGATGTTAGCGGTCTGTCGTGATTGTTCGGTTGTAACAACTCGTAATACAACACACATTTCCAATCCCACTAGATACAGAGCAAAATCTTCTTGACGTGGATATTGGGCTTTGGCGTCGTTGTCGAAGGTTGATCAGGGTCAACCCATGATTTTAGGGTTATCATAAAGAATTCACTTTTCATCGCCTGTAATGATTTTGTGCAGAAAATCTTTCTTTCGGAACTTTGAAAGCAAAGTGAATGCAGTGTCACGCCGACGATTTTTATTGTCTTCGGACAATTCATGCGGAACCCATCTGCCTTCCTTCTGAACCTTTCCCATCGTATGTAAACGTACAGAAATGGTTTGCTGCGTAACGCCAAGCTGTTCTGCAAGCTCTTTTTTAGTTTGCGCAGAGTTTATATCCAGCAGTGCTCGCAATTCGTCCGTTTCAATCTTTTGAGGACGTTCAGAACGCGGTTCATCTTCAAGACTAAAATCTCCTTGGCGAAATTTTTGATACAATCTTTTACATGTAGTATGACTTACAGCGTTCTCTCCATATGCAGCACAAATCATTGCAGTGGCTTCAGCAGCATTTTTCTTCAGATGAAACGCGAAGTGGATGGAAAATCAAATATGCTCTTATTATTGCCATCGTGAATACTGATTTTTGAGGTTATGTGCATCAAACGCCAAACCGTCAAATGTCAACGCTTTAAAACCGCAAAAGGGCGGAAAGATATATAAAATTTAAATTGTTATTTTGGTTGTATGAAATCTAAAGCTCAGAACTTTTTGTACACCTAATACATTCAACAATTCGTTTTACAAACAGATCTTTGGTAGTCTCATGAGCTCGCCTTTATCATCTGTGATTACGGATATTGTAATGCAGGATCTTGAGGGAGCTATGATTGTCAAAATTTCTATTGATCTCTCGATACGTTGATGACATTCTATTAGCTTCACTTCCTAACCTTCTTGATGATATTTTACACAATTTCAATTCGTATCATGACAGATTACAATTCACTATGGAGAATGATGGTCGTATCAACTTCCTTGATACCTTGCTAATAATTAAAGAGGGAAGGATTATTTTCGACTTATACAAAAAACCCACCAATTCTAGGTAGATATCTTAATTTTTACTCTCACCATTTGCTAGCTCACAAAAGAGGCGTTGTTTTGTCGGAATGGTCGATAGAACAGTTTTTCTTTCCCGATGTAACGACACCCGACTCATCCCCTCATTGTTTAAAATAATATTGTGTCCCCGACCGATCAATCGTCGGGGCATCGACACGGCGATCCTTCTGCGATCCCATCGTCGTAAAATCACGTCGAATATCAGACGAAGCAAAATAGAGATCACACGGCTTCACGTGCGCTGAGCGTGAATAAACACGCACCGATTAGGCCACCGCTGCCGGCCCCGCTGCCGACCACGCCACCGAACATCTTCGCGGAATAATCGAGCGCGTTCGGCGAATTATCGCGAATATTCCGGCGAGAGCATCCCCCGGAACTACCCCGACCTGAGTTCGGCCGACCAGTACCCGACTACTCTCGACAGACGACCGACTTCGGTATATTAAGCGATTCCGGTGGATGATCGCTACCGGCGAGACAATAAGACGTCCAGTACTTCTCTCGACTTCCAGTCCTGTCCAACACAAAGCGATCTAGGGTGCTTCCTATCGCGCCAGGAGCTTCTGGCCGATCGCTCCTTTCATCCACAGCGCACAAGCTTTATCACAGATTGAGGGGCTTCTCAATCTGGGCTCTAAAAGCAAGCCCTTGTGCGCACCGATCCTTCCGCCGCTGATGATCAAGAAGCAGGGAGCTTCTTGCATTCCAAAGACCACAACACAAAAACCTCAGACGGACAGTACGCACGACGAAACGCACGAACAGCTGATCCGTCATAATAGGCGCGCCGAAGACCCCTCGCACCGTCGCGCCCGCGCTGCGCCTACCGTGAACGCGCAGAATTCACGGAACCGACCGCGAGCCGAATCTAGTATACGATTCCCGGAACTTGCGCCGCTTTTCACGGAACCGAAGGCGAAATTCTGGGACAAATACTTGTACATATTATACATACCAAAACTCAGTCAGTAAAACTGTAAATACATAAAGTTAACGATAAATATAGATCTTTGTACATAGAATCAAAAAGGATCTCGATATTTTATTTCTCTTCAATAATCCTGACCATATCCGACCGACGCTATCCCGCGAAATACATCTTACCTGAATAAAGACGTTTTACCATTCTGAATTCCACACCAAGAATCTAGTAAATTCCATTAATATTCTTCTGAACAATTCTTACAGTAGACAAGGGGGACCCTAACCCCTTCAGGACGTCAGGGGGAGAGGGGCGGAGGGAGGTAGAATCCCCAGGGGGTTCGTATCCGGAATATCCACCTGAGTCGGTAAGGATGGTTTTTTTTCCTCAGAGGGTTCGTATCTGGGGAGAGAAGGTAGATCCCTCTAGCGATCGTCGAGATAGGTTTATCCTCCTCGGTCGGTAAGGCGGTCGCCGGGTTTGTTTCCCGGGTCTGTTTCCCCTGTCTTCGACGCCGCCCTAGCGTTTTTCCGCGCGGTCTAGCGCCTTCCGCGTAACCCCGGGCGCGTCTTCGACGCCGCTCTAGCGTTTTCCGCGCGGTCTAGCGCTTTCCCTGAGTCGGAGA